GGATGTTAATAAAATTGCTACGTATTACTATCGTTTTTGATTGATGGTTTAATTTTTAAGAAAATATACGTAGTAATTTTTTAATAAATTTTTTTATACGTACTTACACTAATTATTATTATTATTATTATTATTATTATTATTATTATTATTATTATTATTATTAGGAAAAGTTAGTGTACTATGCACTTTGTGCCCCCTCTACGTAACATCTCAAATTTTACTAGGGCAACCTCCGTCGTGTAACTAACAAAAAAAATGTTTCTCTCGCAATTTTGTCCTAATATTTTGTTTGTTTGGCTATTAAACACATAAAGGGACACAAAGTGCATGGGTGCACTTGTTTAGATTTCCCTTGCATAAACTATAAATGTTCCCGATAAATGAACTATCCACGAATAAAATAGTAAGCATCAAGAGGTCGATCGAATCCTCATGAATAGTTATTCGCAGCGGGCATGTATCATTTGCAAGGGTATTTAATATACTCCGTTTGCGTACTAAATAGGCTACTTATTGTAACAAGCCAATTTAGTGATTGAATAGGAGATTTTTATATTAATAATATAAGATTATCATTTGATCTTTTTTTATCAAAACAAAGTTATGGGAATGGCGCTCTGTGATTTAATCATAATCTGAGTGCTATTTTGATAAAACACTATCGTTATTAACATATATAGCGTTGTCAACTGGACTAATTAGATATGTTTAATTCAATTGAGCTATGCCAAATTAGTTTACTGACAACAATGATTCATGTATGGATCAAATTTATTTGCTTTTAATTCATTCATATTCTCGAAATCATGGTCAGTGGAAAAGACATAATTATCGCAATATCGCATTAGGAATTAATTAATTTTACAAAAAGAAAAAAAAATTCTATGTCCAATGTCCTCTCATAATTATTCTAATTAAGTTTAATATTTAACGTTAATTCCGCACTCTATTTTTTTTTTTTTTTTTTTGTTTTATGCCCATCAAGTCTAAGTTTAGCCAAACCCCAATAAGACAACACTAGTAATCCATTACCAACAACGTCAACAATAGCGGTCCTGTAGATACGTGTATATGTAAGAACAGCTACGTGTATCGCGAATATCAAAAATTTTTAAAATCAACTAGACTTACATGTAAGGCAATGAGTAATTATCTGGATCGTAATCGTGGTTCCATAACCATAGCGTCAATTTTTTAGCAAATATAAGAGTAAATGCCGCCTGAAAAAAAAAAAAAA